GGTCGCGGAATACTTTTTTTGCCAGGGGGCGCTGTTCTGTCCTTAGGCCACGCCTCCTCCTGCAGGCCCCATGCGCCCTCAACAGCCTTCTAATGGAGAAGCGCAGGCCCCGCCCACTAGGCGAGAGGGAAGTCCTCCCTCCACGTGCTGCCAGGAGGGAGGCAGCCAGCCAGGCTCTTTCGCTTTCACTTTCCCTTCCCTGCAGCTGAGCCTGGACCCCTCTCAGGGCAGCAAGGAGGCCTCGTCAAAAGGTACTGCAAATGTCATCTTTTGTACATGCCTCCCCCAAACCTCTCTAGTATTTGGTAATGGAAGTCCTATATGCCAAGTTTGGTTCAATTCTATTGTTGGTGGAGCTCAGAATGTTCTTTGGTGCTTGGTAAACTGCAATTCCCAAATGTCAGGGTCTATTTTTCCCAACCCCCTCTCCAGTATTTTCTGTTAGTCATGGAAGTCCTGTATGCCAAGTTTGGTTCAGTTCTATTATTGGTGGAGTTCAGAATGCTCTTTGGTGCTTGGTGAAGCATTCTCACCTGATGTTTCACCCACATCTATGGCAGGCATCCTCAAGAGGCTGTGAGGTCTGTTTGTAACTAGGCAAGTGGGGTTTGTATATCTGTGGAATGTCCAGGGTGGGAAAAAGAACTCATGTCTGCTTGAGGTAAGTGTGAATGTTGCAATTGGTCATCTTGATGAGTATTTAATGGCCTTGCAGCTTCGAAGCCGAGCTAGTTGCTGCCCAGGAATCCTTTGTTGGGAGCGGTTAACTGATTGCTTCATGTCAGGAATTCCCCCCCTTTTTTAGTGTTGCTCTTTATTTATTGTTCTGATTTTAGAGGGTTATTTTAGAGGGTACTGGTAGCCAGATTTTGTTCCTCTGAGGTTGCCTGCCATAGATGTGGGGAAAATGTCAGGAGAGAATGCTTCTGGAACATGGCCATACAGCCCAGAAAACTCACAGCAACTCAGTGATTCTGGCCATGAAAGCCTTCCACAACACATTATTATGTTTATTTATACCTGCTTTTTCTCTCCCCAAGAAGACTCAAGTTGGCTTAGATTAAAAACATTTCAGTACAGTTTAAAATCCACAAATATGCAAACATTAAAATGGAATTAAATATCATTGGTATTTTAAAAATTCAGTTAAAATCCATAAAAAACATATCCAAAACTAAAAACTGCAGCAGACCCTGACTTGATCTTTAAAACCTTTTAAAGCCTGCATTAGATTACCAAATGTAATGTCCCTTTATACACACTGCTTTATATTAATTTCCCCAGTATTCCTTTATCTGATTTGTCATAAACACACTTAATGGACTGCAAAAATATGATCCTGTGTGATTCCTTTCCATTGCTGGCCGAATAGTTTAAATTTGGATAATATTTTGACTTTGATATTTTAGCAATTACATTTTGCAGCAGTGTCTTTTGGGTTGCTAACTCTTGTCCTTCCACTTATCCTTCCATCAGTTCCAGGGCTCAATCCCAACTGCTGTTGGACGAGACACTATGGAGCTCTATATTTATATTTCCACAGTACAAAGTGGCAAAATCAAAGACTGCTTTGGGATTTTTTAAAAAAAAAAATGTTTTCAAACCATGGATGGTTGAAGCAGTGGTTGCAGAACACCAACTGTGTAACACTGTCACTGTACGAGTAAAGCAACAACAAAATGCTCCCCTGCCCTTAGGTGTATAATTTAATTAAAACATGACACAAAGGCAAAGGGATGCCAGTGTGGGAAGGGATGAAGGGCCTGTCCAGACAGGCCCTATATCCCAGGATGTGATTGCAGGTTTTCTGTTTATCCTGGATTATCTGGCAGAGTGGACTCATATGATCCAGTTTAAAGCTGAAAACCTGGGATTTATTTATTTATTTGTCATGTCAGAACAACCAGTCAAATTATGTTACATTTCTAACAGAACAAAGCAAAACAAGCAGATTACAAAATTTGTGAGTATGGTAGTTGATTAAATGTCCTTTGATCAGTATCTGGCCACTTGGAGTGCTTCTGGTGTTGCCGCAAGAAGGTCCTCCATTGTGCATGTGGCAGGGCTCAGGTTGCATTGCAGCAGGTGGTCAGTGGTTTGCTCCTCTCCACACTCGCACGTCGAGGATTCCACTTTGTGGCCCCATTTCTGAAGGTTGGCTCTGCATCTCGTGGTGTCCGAGCGCAGTCTGTTCAGCGCCTTCCAAGTCGCCCAGTCCTCCGTGTGCCCAGGGGGGAGTCTCTCATCTGGTATCAGCCATGGGCTGAGGTGCTGGGTTTGAGCCTGCCACTTTTGGACTCTCGCTTGCTGAGGTGTTCCAGCGAGTGTCTCTGTAGATCTTAGAAAACTATTTCTAGATTTAAGTCGTTGACGTGCTGGCTGATACCCAAACAGGATGAGCTGGAGATGTCTCTGCCTTGGTCCTTTCACTATTGGCTGCTACTTCCCGGCGGATGTCAGGTGGTGCAATACCGGCTAGGCAGTATAATTTTCCAGTGGTGTAGGGCGTAAACACCCTGTGATAATGCGGCATAGGGCCTGTCTGGAAGGGCTCCATGGCTTCACATGCCACCTGTTTCTCCAAGGCCAAAGCAGTGGCAGTTGGATGGAAGGAGGGCTCTTCATCTGCTTCTGGGTCAAGCACATGCAAGAGCAAACTTCAGCCCTCCAGGTGTTTCGGACTTCAACTCCCACAATACCTAACAGCCGGTCTAGCAGTTTGTAATGTAATACAGGTTGAGTATCCCTGATCCAAAGTGCTTTGAACTAGAAGTGTGTAAATCACTTTGAGTCCTCCTGAGGGTGAGAAAAGCGGTATACAAATACTGTAAATAAATAAATAAAATGTTTGGGATCATGGGATAGCTGTTACATACACAATGACACATTTCAAAGATAGCACCCAAGATGAAACACAAAAGAGGCATGCACGAGGCCTCTTTTCCCACGTGCCCGGCAATGCCGCTGCGCATCCCTCTCTCGGCATTAGGAAATGTGCGCCCTGCATCGCCCTCCTTCTCCATGCACTTCCTAACGCTGGGAGAAGGATGCACACTGGCGTTGTTGTCTCCCTTGGCCTGCAAGGAGGAGGAGAGGAGGACAACGTGCGCACTTGTGAGGGAAGGATGGAGGGAGAGCATGCTCCCTGCATGAGGGCTCTTTTTCCGTGCGCCTGGTAATGCCGGCGCGTGTCCCTCTCCCGGAGTTGCAAAGCGTGTGGGGGAAGAGAATGCAAAGCGCATACCCAGGAGCCGATGGAGCACAGGGCCTCTTCTCCTGTGTGAAGAGGGGCAGCATTGCAAGTGCCTCTCCAGGCAGCTGTGCCATCACCCCTCTCAGGGCGGCAAGGAGGTTTCTTCATGAACGGAAGTGACTGAAGGTACTGCAAATCTAAATTATTGTACATGTTTCCCCAAAACCCCTCCAGTATCAGAGTCTATTTTCCCCAAATCCCTTCAGTATTTTGTGTTGGAACTACATCAACACTGACAAAGAAACAACAAGAAATACTATTTACCCACAAGCATTAAGAAATTACATATATTAGAAACCAACTTTCTTATTACTTTCTTTTCAAGATCACTAGACTGGATCACAGCAACGCGTGGCAGGGGATGGCTAGTGTGTGTGTGTGTGTATGTATGGCTGGCATGGGCCAACTTCAGCCCTCCATGTGTTTTGGACTTCAATTCCCACAATTCCAAACAGCCAGTAGGAAGTCCTAAATACCTGGAGGGCCAAAATTTGTCCATGCCCCCATAGATAGATAGATAGATAGATAGATAGATAGATAGATAGATAGTGATTGGTTGGGGAGGGGGGGGCGCCAAAATACTGTTTGCTTACCATTGAAAATTACCTAGGGCCGCCTCTGTCTGAGAGTATGTTAGACCTGGGTTCTGTTTAAGCCTTCAAGCTTTGTTCAAACAATTAGACAAAGCCTATGTAAAATGTACAAAAAGCTACTAAAATGAGAGGAATGCATTAAACTTAAATAGACAATATTCTATTAATATAAGAGGTGAAGAATATCAAGAATGCCCTGGGATAAACAAACTGAGAATTCTGGCAGAACAAAAAATAAAAATGAAGACTTTTTAATGTAACGGATGGATAGGTGAAATAATAATAAAAGTAAAAAGGCATTAAGATTTTTACTCTTTATGTTTATTAATTAAAAGTACATCTTCTACAATGGAACAGCCAAGTTTTAAATCCTTTGCCGAAAACGGAGAGATCGGGAGCCTGTCTAATCTCCCTGGGGAGGGAGTTCCAGAGCCGAGGGGCCACCACAGAGAAGGACCTTTCCCTCGTCCCCACCAACTGAGCTTGTGAGGATGGTGGAAGCAAGGGAAGAGCCTCCCCGGATGATCTTAAAGTATGTGCTGTTTCATAGGGGAAGATGCAATCACAAAGATAGACAGGTCCCGAACCATTTGGAGCTTTATGGGTGAAAACCTGCACTTTGTATTGGGACCGGAAACTTACTGGAATCCAATGGAGCTGTTTGAACAGCGGGGTTGACTGCAGTTGGCGCACAAGCTTTAATTGCACAAAGGCCCTCCCAGCCCCCACCAACATCTGGGCATCAAGTGTCAAAGCGGAGTCCAGAAGGACCCGCAGACTGCAAACCTGTGTTCTCAGGGGGAGTGTAGCCCCGTTGAGCACAGGAAGCCACCCTATACCCCAGCCCCACCACTGACCTGGAGGACCTCTGTTTTGTCTGGATTAAGCTTCAGTTTGTTAGCCCTCATCCAGCCATCACAGTGGCCAGGCACTGGTCAAGGATCCGGGGGGGGGGGGGGCTTCCTTGGAATCTGGTGGAAAAGAGTAGTAGAGTTTGTGTCATCTGCATAGAGATGGCACAAAACTCCGGATGATGACCTCACCCAGAGGTTTCATGTAGATGTTAAAAGCATAGGGGAGAGAATAGAACCTTGCAGGACCCCACAGGTCAAAGGCCAGGGCCTTTGACCTGTGCAGGTATCCCCTAGCTTCACCAACTGGGCAGGTATCCCCTAGCTTCACCAACTGGGTACAACCCTCAAGGAAGAATCGGAGCCACTGGAGAGCAGTGCCCCCGAGACCCATTCTCGGAGAGTTGACCCAGAAGGATACCATGGTCGATGGTATTGAAATCCGCTGAGATATCTAAGAGATACTTGACCTCTTAGATTTCTGCAGACATCTATGGACTCACCGCCAAGATCCTACACTTGGAAGGTAATCATACTCGGCCACAAGGGCTCGCCTATGATAATGACCCTGGTACAAGAATTGGGTCTCTTTATTATTATTATTATTATTATTATTATTATTATTATTATTACTACTACTACCACTATATTTATTTATACCTGACTTTATCTCCACAAAGGGGACTAAAAGCATTGGTGTCTGTAAAAGATAAACGTTCACCTGGACAGGGGGGACAAGCAATCGCACCCACTGTCCTTTAATTCACAGGGTTATCATTCAGCTGGACACTAATCAAATAAAGATAGTTAACTATAACAAGGGGGAAAGACTCTCTTATCCCACCTTAGTACTATATCTTTTAAGTGACCAACTGTGATGTAGTTGTAGACCGATGTATTTGTTAAATCACTGCCACCACCTCAATTAAATAGGTCTGAGGAAAACCATATGTGTGAAGGTGAAAAGAGGCAAAGTTGTATTCAAGCTCTTTGTTCTTCTTTGACCACTGTTATTTTTGCTGACTGGACTGAAAGAAATCTTCTTTAAGTTAGCTGAGATGTAAAGGTTGTAATAGACTGAGGCAGACTCTAATTTGAAGGTGAAATAAAAAACAGGTTTATTTTACAACTTGATAAACAGATCGACTCTTAAAAAGAGTGGTACAATAATCTTGATGCAGTTCAGTTTCTTGAGGCTTAGCTGGTTTTAAAGAGGCAGTCTTACTTAAAGGCTTCAACTTTTGTTTCACAGTGAGTTCCTTGTCCCCACACTGATCACTAACTGACACAGTGTGTCTTTGAGCACAGTACACAAACTGCCTCCTAGAGCAAATCAGGCTTCCCTTTCACTGTCCCTACTCTGACCAGTGAATCAGGTTCCTTTGCCTATCCCTTGCTCTAATTTCTCAAGGCTCACACAAAAGTCTTCCCTCCCTGCCTAAGATCTCCACAGCTCTCTCTCCCTAAAATATACGTCTTTACTCCACAATGTCTAAACTCCAACTCCCCTACTTGTCAAATAAGCCAGCCTTTTTTCCCTCTAAATCCTAACTCCACCCCTGACTGTCCTAACCAATCAGGAGTCGGCTGACTCCTCCCTCCTGCCTCTGGCTCTCTTGCCTAACCCAGAACATGTCAGCTACTGACTTTCCAGGCTTCGGCCTTCCTGCCAAAAAGGTCAGTTTCACTACAGTGTCCAATACAAAATATAGAAATATACAAACATTAAAACAGAATTAAACACAAACAGCATTAAAAATTTCAGTTAAAAACCATCAAAACATATTCAAAGTTAAAAACCATAGCTTCTTCTGACTAGATCTTAAACACCTTCATCTTTAAATGCCTGTTTGAATAAAAAAAGTTTCAGCCTGCTGCCGGAAGAACAGCAGGGAGGGGCCGTTCTGGCTTCTCTGGGAAGGAAGGGAGTTCCAGGGTCGAAGGGCAACCACCGAGAAGGAAAGCCCGTTGTTTCGTTCCCACCAACCAAGCTTGAAATGGAGGTGGGACATAGAGAAGGCCCTCTCCTGAAGATTTCAGGGCCTGGGCAGGTTCGTTCAAGAGGATGTGGTCGGTCAAATAGCCTGGACCTGAACCATCAATTTATTTATTTATTTATTTGTTTGTTTATTTACCCTATTTATACCCTGCCTTTCTCAGCCCTGAAGGGGACTCAAGGCGGCTTACATATAAGCAATTATTCAATTCCTTAAAATACATACAAAACATTAAAATAAATCAAATTAAAATTAATACATATTAATCATAACTTTAAATTGTGCCCGGAAACAGACTGACAGCCAGGGGAGCTGCTGCAATTGGGGGGGGGGGGTTGTCCGTTCCCTGTAGCCAGCCCCAGTGAGCAATCTGGCTGCAGCTCTTTGGACCAGATGAAGCTTCCAAGCACTCTTCAGAGGCAGCCCCATGTGGAGTGCATTACAGCAATCCATACAGGATGTAACTAAGGCATGTATCACCCTGCCCAGATCCGACTTCATGAAGGAATGGGTGCAGTTGGTGCACAAGTTTTAACTGCCCTCCTGGCCACTGCCAACTCCTGGGCCTCAAGGTTCGACGCCAAGTCCAGGAGAACCTCTGTCTTGTCTGGATTATGTTTCAATTTGTTTGCCCTCATCCAGTCAATTACTGATGAGAAGCCCTGGTTTAAGGTCAGGACAGCTTCCTTGGCATTAGGTGGAAAAGAGTAGTAGAGTTTGGTGCCATCTGCATATAGGTGGCACTGTACTCCAAAACTGCAGATGACCTCTCCCAGCAGTTTCACGTGTATGTTAAACAGCATGGGGGTCCAAATGCAACCCTGAGGAACCCCACAGGTCAATGGCCAGGTTTCGAACAGGAGTCCCCCAGCACCACCATCTGCAGGGCCAGACAGTGCCTCCCAGTCCCATCCCAGCAAGACGATACAGAAGGATACCATGGTTAACAGTATCAAGAGCCCCAGAGAGGTCCAGGAGAACCAACATGGACACAGTCCTCTGTCTAGGTCATCCACCAAAGCAACCAAAATTAAGGCACTCCATAGTATAGTACTGCCACAAGAGAACATTCTATTCCATGGAAACCAATTAGATGGCCTTGAGGTTCTTCTCTGCATTTCTGTTCCCTGCCACAAGAGGCATGCATTTTCATGGACAGAGAAAAACTGTGTTTTAACGGGCACAGATAAGGCATCACACTGCTGTTATATTGCCACATGAGGGCAGCCTGAGAAATTAGATTAGGCTAGAGTAGATGGCCTTGCCACAAAACAAGAAACTGGTACAAAATTTGGGCATTTGAATGCACATTTCAATAGTTTTAAGAACTGTGTACACAAACGTGACTGAATCAGGGGAGCGGGTACAAACTTATCTTCAGAATAAGGAAGACTATAAGAAAACATAATAGGACAGTCTCTCCAGAGAACAGGACTTCTGAGAGTATGTAGACCTGGGTTCTGTTTAAGCCTTCAAGCTTTGTTCAAACAATTAGACAAAGCCTATGTAAAATGTAGGAGAAACCACTTAGATGGGAGGAGTGCATGAAATTAAAATAGACAATATTCTATCAATATAATAAATTATCAAACTTCTTAAAAGACTGGGTTGTTGTAGGTTTTTTCGGGCTGTATGGCCATGGTCTAGAAGCATTCTCTCCTGACGTTTTGCCCCTGCATCTATGGCAGAGGTAGTGAGGATGCTTGCCATAGATGCAGGCGAAATGTCAGGAGAGAATGCCTCTTGACCATGGCCATACAGCCCGAAAAAACCTACAACAACCCAGTGATTCCGGCCATGAAAGCCTTCGACAATACAAAATAAAAGGGGTTTCTAAAACATATTGGGGAAAAATACAAGATACATTACAGGGAATTCTAAATATAAGAATTCCTTTAAAACCAGAGATATTCCTGCTCAGGACAACAGATCAGAATTTAGATTTAAAAAACCCTATTTTTACTGAACACGGCAGCAAGAATTTCTATGCAAAAATTTGGAAAAAGGAAGAGATCCCAGAAAAACATGACTGTATAAGGAAAATTGTGGATATCAGAAACATGGATAGATTGACATACCTGATATCTAAAAAAAGGAACCCCGATAAAAGAAACTGATTGGACGAAAGTGACAGAATACTTGAAACATAAAAATAGAAACATATTGATATAGTAAGAAGAGAAAAAAGGATGGAAGAAGAAAAAGACACAAGAAAGAAAAGGAAAAACCCACATGGAAGATACTCAGGAAGTCAACAAGTTCATTTTTTTTCTTTTGCTTTTTCTTCTATGCTCACTTTTTCTTTCTTTCTGTATTTTTAGGATACTTTCTTCTTCTTCTCCTCCCCCCCCCCTTTTTTTTTTTTTACTATTCAAAGTTTATACACACACACACACACTTTGTTTTTAAGGAAAATTCTCAATAAAGATTATTTATAAAAAAAAGGACATTAAGATCATCTGGGGAGGCCCTGCTCTCTGTCCCGCCTGCATCACAGGCGCGCTTGGTGGGGACGAGAGACAGGGCCTTCTCAGTGGTGGCCCCTTGGCTGTGGAACGCCCTGCCTGCAGATATCAGATCGGCCCCCTCCCTGCTGGCGTTTCGGAGGAAAGTGAAGACCTGGCTGTTCGAACAAGCATTTGATTAAACAGTGTAATTGAACATAGGAATACAGAATAATGGATGATGAGACTGGATTCTGATTTTACTGTTGAGGCGCTAATGATTGTTATTCTGATGTTTAATGATTTATGTTACAATTGTTTTTAATTGCCCTATACTTGTCTCGTGATGTTTTGTATTGATGTTGTTCACCGCTTTGAGTCGCCTGAGGGCTGAGAAAAGCGGTATAGAAATAAAGTAAATAAATAAATAAATAATTTTTTATTATTTATGTTTAATAATTAACAGTACATCACTTTCTATATTCTTGAGGCAAAGGACAGTGTTGAAATCACCGTAAAAACATTGAAAACAAAATCAGAAACAATTTTAAACATTTTTCAAGAACAGTTTAACCAGTAAGAATTTTATTAATTAACAGTATATCTCTTCCAGGACTCTAAGGACAGAATACAGTGTTAATAAACTCAACTTAAAAGCACTGAAAACAAATTTAAGAACAATTTTCCAGAACAGTTTAATCATTATATTTGTATCATTGCAGTTTAAAGAACAAGGCCTGAGGCTTGGTTGTTTTAAGGTGAGATTTTGAAGTTGCAATTTATATCCACACAAAAGAATGGGAGGACAGTCTCTCCAGAGAATGGGACTTCTGAGAATACACAGATCTGATCTCCCGTATCAGCATCGTAAAAGGCCACCCGGTTTGCAGCACAGTTCAGACAGACTCGGACCCTCTTGGTTTTTTCATTCAGGGATGGAGCAGAGCTTGCAGGGTTAATGGAAAGACTATGCTACCTTTCCA